CAAATTTCTAGATACTTATAACCAATCATAACTGAATCAAGAGGATATTAAACACCTAAACAGGTCTATAATATGAAATGAAATTGAAGCAGCAATGAAGAGTCTCCAAAAAACTAAAAGTCAAGAACCTGACCGATTCTCAGCTGAATTCTACCAGACCTTTAAAGAAGAACTAATACCAACCTTCCTTAAATTTTTTCATGAAATGGAAAGGGAAGGAATACTGTCTAACTCATTCTATGAAGCCAGTGTTACATTCATCCCAAAACTAGACAAAGACACATCCATAAAGGAGAACAACAGGCCAATCTCCTTAATGAACATCAATGCAAAAATCCTCAATAAAATAGTGGTAAACCAAATCCAAGAACATATCAGAAAAATTATTCACCATGACTAAGTAGGTTTTATCCCAGGGATGCAGGAGTGGTTCAGCATATACAAACCAATAAATCTAATGCAGCACATCAATAGAAGCAAAGACAAAAACCACTTGGTCATCTCAATAGATGCAGAAAAACCCTATGATAAGATCCAATAGCACTTCATGATAAAAGCTCTAAGAAAACTAGGAATAGAAGGAATGTACCTCAACATTATAAAGGCTATATATGGCAAACACATAGCCAACATCATACTTAATGGTGAAAAACTGAAACTATCTGAAACTATTTCCCCTAAAATCAAGATCGAGACAAGGGTGCCCACTATCCCCACTCCTATTCAACATAGTGCTGGAATTCCTGGACAGAGCAGTAAGGCAAGAACAAGAAATAAAACGAGTGGAGAGAAAACGAGTGGGAGAAAATATTTTCTAGCTATACATCAGACAAAGGATCGATAAGCAGAATATACAGGGAGCTCAAAAATCTAAACTCCCCAAAAATCAATGAACCAATAGAGAAGTGGGCAACTTAACACATCTTTTTCAAAGGAAGAACTCCAAATGGCCAAAAAACACATGAAAAAATGCTCACCATCCCTGGCTATAAAGGAAATGCAAATCAAAACCACACTAAAATTCCACCTCACTCCTGTTAGAATAGCTGTCATCAAAAACGCCACCAACAACAAATGTTAGCAAGGCTATGGGGAAAAAGGAATCTTCATACACTGCTGGTGGGAATGTCAGCTAGTACAACCACTTTAAAAAACAATATGGAGGCTTCTTAAAAATCTAAACATAGATCTGCCATATGATCCAGTAATCCCACTCCTGGGGATATACCCAAAGGAATGCGACACAGATTACTCCAGAGGCACCTGCACACCCATGTTTATTGCAGCACTATTCACAATAGCCAAGTTATGGAAATAGCCAGGATGTCCCACTACTAATGAATGGATTAAGAAAATGTGGTATTTATACACAATGGAATTTTACTCAGCCATGAAGAAGAAAATTTTTCATTTTCAAGTAAATGGATAAACTGGAGAACATCAACTTAAGAGAAGCGAGCCAGGCTCAGAAGGCCAAAAATTGTATGTTTCTCCTCCTATGCAGATCATAGACCTAAAACAAATGCAGTAATATTATTGGACATGGGTCACCCACTAAGGGAGGAACACACACAGGAGGAATAGGGAAAGGGAAGGAAACCTAAAACCTGGAAGTGTTTGATGTGCCCACTGTAGAGGAAAAAACAAAGTAATCTTAAGCTGGCAGAGGCCACTATGGGAAGGTGAGTGGGAAGTAGTGAAGGGGTCTGGTAGAGATGAACTAATGCAGGTTGTAATATATATGTGCATAGAAGCAACAATAGGAATCTCTTTGTATAGCTATCTTTATCTCCAGCTAGCAAAAATTCTCTGTCTTTCTTATTATCGCTTATGTTTTCTCTTCAACAAAATCAGACAAAAGGGCAAAACAGGTTCTGCCTGGAAGTGAGAGGGGTGGAAGGAAGGAGGAGGGGGCAGGGTGCGGGGGGGGAGATGTGGCCCAAACAATGTATGCACATATGAATTAATGTATAAACAATTTAAAAAATAAAGAAGTAAAAAATAGATAAACAAAAACTAAATGCAGTGGTGCACTAGAAGAAAAACCATGATTATCTTCACAATATATGTGGGAGGACATCCAATGATACATTCTTGATACTGTTAGTGAAATAAACATACATAGAATTTTGAAAAATGTAAATGTGACTTAGTTAAATGAAAGTAAGATACATATGCTTGTAGATATCTGGTGGTAAAAAGAAAACAAACATGATGTGAAATTTAAAAAATTATGAGTAAGTACCAAATAAGATCATATACTGTCTCTGAGTAACCCCATTTCTGGAAGTAATCCAAAATATGGAGGAAGTGCCTTCTTCTTAATGGCAATTAAAAAGGAGGCAACATTAACTGACAAAAGTAAATATAAATAGTGATGCACCCACTTAGTGTTTACTGTGAGAAATTAGTGGCTGCCCCACTTGACCTCTAACCAACTGAGCAGGTAAGGAAGGTCACATCAAGACCAAAGCTTTATTAATAAATCTGAGTTACAGCATGTCTCAGTCAGTAATAGCTGCTATAACAAATTACCATAGACTAGATGTCTTAAACAATAAGAATGACTTCTCACAGTTCTAGATACTGGCAATGTCATTTCTGATGAGGGCCTGCTTGCTGGTGGGCAGACATTATTTACTCAGTGTTCCCACATAGCAGAAAGCAGAGACAGAGGGTAAGAAAGCACTCTCTGAGCTCTTCTTATAAAGACACTAGCCTCATTCATCAGGACTCCAGCTTCATGACCTAGCTATCTCCCCAAGCCTTCATCTCCTAATGCTATCACATTAGGGATAAGGATTTCAACATGCAGATTTTTTGGTGATAAACCATTCAGTCCATAACAGAGAAAATTCTCTCCTTTTCTCCCAGTTGAAGAAAATTTCCCTTTGACATTCACTGTATCACAGCAGAGAGAGTAAAGCATGACTGTGCATAGTCAAATTACTGCACAGAGCTACATTTCACAATCCTGGACTTGCATCCGGATCAATTTCTAAAAATATCACTGTCAAAGTCCTCTAATGATTCTTTATTAATTGACCTGTGATGAGACCTGTTCTTCAGTCCACTTTTAGATCTACCAGGTATTTCTGATGTGTTGCAGGATTGAGAGCCCCTGACACAGGAAGCTTAAAGTTCAGCAATAAACTGAGTGCAGGCAGGGGAGCTTGCTTCCTGTTTGAAAGCAAGTAATCTCACATGTTCATCTGTAGGATGTGCTCATGGACTAAAGATTACTAATTAGAAAGTGGTATAAATTGTGACTGAGAGTAGGTCTCAACTGCAGCTACATATTAGGTTCATCTGAGGGAACACTTTTCAACTGTTGATGCTTGAGCTTGACCTGACACCAATTGAATCCAATTCTCTAGAGTTGGGTCCAGACAACAGAATATTTTTAAGTCTCTGGGTGATTCTGATGCACAGTAAAAACTGAAGACCATGTATATAGACACAGAGGGAGAACTGGAATGACTTATTTAAAACTTACATATCTGTGATGCTAGTGGAAATAAATCGAGACTGTGCAAATGAACGTATTATAAAGATTTAACTCCTAGATTGTCATTGTGAGGTAAGAGAAAGTTGAAAGACCTGAAAAGAGAAGTGTTATTTTAAGAGTAAATGAGCTCTGTGACAGAATAAGAAAAGCATAGGCAAGATGGCTAAGACTCAATGTAGGAAAACAAAGAGTTGTCAGCCAAGGGAACGGCAAAGATTCAGAGAAGTGAAAGGGCATGAACAGGAGCCAGGCAGGCAGATGTAATGACCATTCCCAGGAAACTATGTCAAAACTGGCATAATGTGGAATAAAGAGTAAGATAAGACCACTGGATTTTACCAATAGTTTGAAAAAGATGGAAGGTATTGGATAATGGAAAATACTGGTGAGAAGACAGCATCAACACATCAGGGGAATATGGAGATTGAATTTGAATGGGGAGATTTTAGGCTTGGTTAAGGGAATTGGGAGGATGATAGAGGAACAGAGGTGGAGAGCAACAAACTCAGGAAGGGGAGGAAGCAGAGAAGACCAGAGCCTGACTGGATCTGGAGGGTGCCCCAAGGACATCCTGTTATTCTCAAAGTGCCTTGGAAAGTTCTTATAAACTAAGAGTCATAGATGTCCCAGAAATCCTCAGCAAAGGAAAGTACTTGCTACAATGTATTTGAGTGAAGCTGCATCTCAAATGGGGTAAAGGACTAAAGTCAGTGCATAAAGGTGAAAAATCACCATTTTAATCTATTAAAAGATACCAAAATAGAAGCCAAATTTGAGATACCAGAATGTTAAGCAAAGCCACTTTTCTTCATTGTTGAGGGGTTCATTATTCCTTCATTTATATTATTTTTATTTCTATATTTTGTTTATAAAGTACATATTGAAACCAATTTGAAATATTTAAAATAGAACTAAAATACATAAGAGATTCATACTATGAGGCCTATATGAATTGGTGGTGACAGATGGAATAGTAGACTCGTGACTTTCATTTTACACTCACTGCTGGACATATACTTAGGCATTGAATAGAATAAGTAGTGTATTTGCCAGTCCTATCTGTCTGAAGTATCGCCTTTCCTTTACTTTCTTATACCAAAATAGTCCTGTAAGAAAGCATACCACATTAAATGTAACTGTGATTAACTCCACTGTCCTTGATCTAATTCACAATTTCCCAATCCTACCTTCACATTTCTTAAAAACTCTGGAATGAAAGTTACTCCAGCCTCATAACTCATTTAAATCCACTTTGATAAATTAAGATAAATTACATGTGGAAGGGGTACCAGAGTCATGCAGAAAAAAGAAGTCTTGATACTGGATGTGTATGAATGTGAAATGCTCATGGCTCTGCCAGAGCACAGTACTGACCAGGGCCAATTCTAGTATTTCTTCAGCTGTCTAGGCCATTTCTGATCTCCCCAAACCAACCATGATCAAAATTTTCCCATATTTTCTGCATCTACTCAATATAGCCCCAGAAGTTTATTCAGGAGCCCATTCTACCCTGTTTAAGCAGCCTGTGGAGTGCACCCTTGACATCTTTGTTGCGGAGGCTATAAACAAATGGGTTGGCCAAAGGTGTAATAGCAGTGTACATTACTGCAGCTATACATATCCTGATCCTGAGAGTTCTGAGAAGGAGGCTGGAAGTATACCCAAATGATGGTGCCATAGAGAAATCCAACCATGGTGAGGTGGGATCCACAGGTGGAGACTGCTCGCTGGCGTCCAGCAGCTGAAGGCAAACGTAAGATAGTTGCCCCAATTTGAGCGTAGAAAGTATAATGAGGGCACAGGGGCCCAGCATGAGGGAGCCACCCTCCAAGAATATGGCCAGCTCATTGGAAAGTATGTCAGAGCAAGAGGCTCGCAGAAGTGGTCGATGGTCACAAAAAAAGTGGGGAAGGTTAACATTGCCCTCAGTATCCACAGACCAACGCAGGGGCAGGAGGAGACCCACATGCAGCATAGTATGCACTATGGACACCACCCAGCTCAAGGCCAGTAAGCAGACACAGAGCTGACGATTCATCACCAGAGCATAATGCAGAGGGTCACAGATGGCCACATAACGATCCAGAGCCATGACAGCGATGACAAGTGTATCTGTAACTCCAAATGCATAGAAAAAAAAGAACTGAGCCAAGCAGCGGGCAGCAGGAATGGCTGGGTATTCAGATGCCAGATGAACTAACAGCTGGGGCAGGATGACTGTGGATAACCCCAAGTCTATCACAGAGAGGCCACGGAGCAGAAAATACATAGGTGAGTTGAGCCTGGAGTCCCTGGAGATGAGCAGTACAAGAGTCACATTCCCCAATATGGTAGCCAGGTAAATAGCCAGGAATAGGAGAAAAAAGAGACTGTGGGGAACTCCAGTTTTCGAGAAGCCAAGGAGCAAGAAGACTGGAGAGTGTGATGCATTAGGGATGCAGCTCATGATGACTGACAATGAGCCTGCCTGAAATAGATTTTAAGTAAAAAAGCAGGTCACATGTCAGAGGTTAGGGATCATAACATTTCTATGTAATTTAGTTGTTATTTGTGACCTTTAAGGACCTAGACCCAATTCTATGCTTCTTCTAAGTCACTCACTTAATTTAGTATAGAAGTTTCTCCCATTGCAGTAGCTCATTCCATCTAATCCAGAAACCCTGCTTAAATTTCTCCCACAATAAGAAATCCTTCATTCATGCTTATATTCTCATGCAAACTATGTTTATCTCTTACCAATGGCAAGATTCATGAAATAATTACCTGTACTCACTGTCTTCACCTCCTCATCTTTCATTCACACCACATCCTATTGCTGTTCTCATGATTTCTTCTCTATGAACCTGTACAGAACATAATGAACCATTAAAATGCATAACATATAAAGAAATGATTCTTTCCAGGTAGCTGGATTCTATAGTGAAATTGCTTTAGACTGTCATAAAATTGCTTGGTTTTCTTCTTTATTCTGGTATTAATAGTATCATCATTATTATCTGCCTGCTGCACAAACCAAAACCTGAAGGAATTCATGTTCTTACCTCCATACATCCAGTCACTCCTTGATGTCTATGTTTTCCCTTATATCCATCTTTTGTTCTTAGTCCACTACCACTATATAGGCTTTGGCTTCTTTGACACATTCTGATTTCTACAACTTCACATGTTGTCTTTACACCAACAGGTCTTCCATACTAAAGTCACAGTAAAACTTTTGGTATGTATGCTCATGTTTAACTAGTCATGAATTTCAGAATCAAATCAAATTTAGTATTTTTTCACAGTGTTGAAAAAACAGACCCAAAAATCAGTAGCTAGAAAATTACAAATATTCGCAATAGTCACATTCAAACTAAAAACTAAGTGAATGGGTTTGAAAGTGGTTGAAGAGGTATGTTAGTTCCAAGAAAACTATCCAGAAAACAGTGCAAAGTGACAAATATGTGGGTAATATGAAAGAGTAGTTAAGGATTGCAAAAAAGGAAGCCAGACATGGTGGTGCACACTTGCAATTTCAGCACTTGAGAAGCTGAGTCAGGAGGGTCATGAACTTGAGGACAGACTTACTTCACAGTGAGAATCTGCATCAAAAAATGAACTGAAGAGAAGATCTGCTATAAGCCGAACAAGTCTAAGAAAAATAAAACAGATATCCATATGCAAAAGAATGAAATCCAACATTTATCTTACAATATATACAGAAATTGACCCAAAATGAATTAAAGCCCTAGACATAAGACCTGAACTATAAACTTCTATAAGAAAACATAAGGGGAAAACTCCTTTACTTTGCCAATGATTTTCTGAGCATCACACCAAAAGCTCAGGCAACAAAAGCAAAAAAAGAACCAACAAACTAAAAAGCTTCTGGACAGTGAAGAAACCAATCAAAAGAATAAAAATGTAGCTTACAGATTGGGAGAAAATGTTTATAAACCATAAATCTAATAAGGGATTAGTATACAAAATATATAAGAATCTTTCACTCAATAGCAAAAAAACTTATCCAAATAAAAATAAGCAAAGGACCTGAACAGCTATTTCTCCAAAGAAGATGTACAAATGGCTTAGAGATACCAAAAAGGTGTTCAATGGAAAACAGCACGGGGGCTCCTCAAAAAACTAAAAATAGAACTGATACATGATCCAGCAATTCCACTCCTAGGGACGTAGCTGAAGGAATGTAAGTCAGGTTACAATAAAGGCACATCCATACCCATGGTTATTGCAGTATTACTCACAGTAGCTAAGCTATGGAAACAGACAAGATTCTCCACTACTGACGAATGGGTTAAGAAAAAGTATTTATATACAATGGAATTTTACTCACCTGTTGTTTGTAGGTAAATGAGTGGAACTGGAGAATATCATTTTAATTGAACTTAGCCAGGTTCAGAACACCAAAAGCTGCATGTTTTCTCTCATATGTGGAATATAGACCTAATACAAATACAGCAATATTAAAAAAAACAGGTCTTGCTAAGAGGAGGTCACACACAAGAAAGAGGGGATAAAAGAAGGAAGTTAGGAGAGTGAATATGCATTGACATACACACTGTATAAGAATGAATATATTATTTTTAAACCTGTTAGAATCACCATAAGAAGGGAACTAAGGCAGAAAGAGGAAAAATAGAGATTATTAACCAAATCGGGCTATAATATATACATACATGGAAATGTCACAAGGAAGCTCCCTTGAACAAACAAAAATGTTATTTCTTATACTTTTACAAAATCAGAGAACAAGAGGGCAGAACAGGTCCTTCCTGGGATGGGGGGGTTGGTACCAGTGGGAGGAGGAGGATGTGGGGAAAGGGCATGGGAGGTATGTAAATGGAAAAAAGAGACCTGTGGAAACTACTCTAGGAATAGGAGGGGAGATAAAGGAGATTTATGGAGCAGGTGAATACAAGTTACAAGTATAATATATTTGGTATATTGTGAGAACTTTTGTAAATGCCACAATGTACCTCCAACACAACAATTTTTAAAAATGTTCAAAATCACTAATCATCGGGAAATGCAAGTCAAAACAACAATGTGATATCACCTACATCTATTAGTATGATTATTATCAAAAAGACAAGATCACAAACATTGGTATGTGTGTGGAGGAAAGAGAACACTTACACACAGTTGGTGAGAACATATATAAACTGGTGAAGCCATTATAGAAAAAAATATGAAGGGGCCTCAAAAAGTTAAAACTAGAACTGCCATATGACCTGCAATCCCTCTTTGCGGAATATAATCTAAAGAAATCAGTGCCTTGTAGTTAACTGCACTCTCGTGTTCACTGCAGCATTATTCACAATAGACAAGCTCTGGAGACAACCTAAGTGTCTTTAAACAAAAGAATGGATAAAAAATACTGTAGACTATTATTCAACCTTAAAAAAGAGGTATCTGCCGGTCGCAGAGATACACCCTTTGTATTGTTTTCCATAATGGAGCCACTGGTTTACATTCTCACCAACATTATGCTAAGTGAACTAAGTCAGACAGAAGTAAAAATACTGCCTGTTCTCAATATGTGTTAAAACATTTTTTAAAAATATTCAAATGCACAGAAGCAAAGTAAAAGAATAGTTACCAGGAGCACAAAAGGGAGGATAAACAGATATTTCTGAGTTGAAGTATACACTGTCCAGTTATATGGGATGAAAACTGTGGTCTAATGCACAGCACGAAGACTATGACAATAATATTGTATCATATATGCACAGTGGGAACTTTTTAAGAGAATATACTTAAGGTGTTCTTACCACAGAAATAAAGATAATTGTGTGAGATGATAAACACGTCAATTTTCTTGACTCTAACAACCACTTCACTATGTATCCATATACCAAAATATCATGTTGTACACTTTAAGTCCAAGAAAAATATTATGTAAAAATAAAGGAGGAACAGAACAAAAGACACACATACTGAGAGTTTACCAGACTTAATGAAAGAAATGAATTTTCAGATTTAAAAAGTCACTATAACTCTCAAGATAATTTTTTGGTGGTACTGGGAGTCAAATTTAGGGCCTCCTTGTACTTGCTAGGCAGGCACTCTACCACTTGAGCCCCTCCACCAGTTCTTTTATAGTTCGTGTTGGCCTGAACCAAGATCCTCCTTTTTGTGCTTCCCTGCATAGCTGGGGATGACAGGCACGGCATGAACTGCTGCACCCAGCTATTGATTGAGAAGGGGTCTCATGAACTCTTTGCCTGGACTCATCTTCACCTGTGATTCTCTTGATCTCCACCTCCCAAGTATCTGGGCTTATAGGTTTGAGCCACTGCACCTGGCCAAACAAGACAATTTTTTTTAAAATCCCACGCACAGACATTATGTTAGGGAAATTGTTAAACAGCAAACAAAAAGGCATATCAACTACCTACAGAAGAAGGATAATTGCACAGAAAGAAGATTCTTCAGCAACAAGAGACTCTAGGAAACAAGGACATGGTATATTCAAAGGGCCCAGAGAAAATAACCACCCAACTCAAATATTACCTCTTTAAACTATCCAAAAATAAAAGCACTTTCAAAATTCATGTTTTTAAGGCACTAAAAATTCAATCCGATTGACTATCAAAACATTAGTACTCAAGCAATTTAAACTTTTCTTTCTTTCCAAGTAAGTTATATCCTCATTCAGAAAGCTGAACTAGGGGAAGAGGGATCTATTGCACCATCTTGTCCATCTTTGACTGTAGGTTATTTGTAGCTTTTGCAATGTTTAAAAAGAAAGGAAAAGGAAATGGAAAAGGAAGGGTGCCATAAGTGTTGCAATTGGTGCTGGTTGCAAGTATAGAATCTTCCTCCTGTGGAGCAGCACATAGGCTCATTTAAGATTACCTACAGGTAACTAGTACTGCATTTTCCCCAGATAAGGCTGATCCAAATCCTGGATGATCCTATAGAGACTTCTGTGTTTGACATCTGACTGCACTCCTCTGGGTCTTAATCTTTTAGAATTAAAACCACCTTCTTGGGCAGTTTGTATTTGAAAATGATATAGCTCAATCACCTTTGTGTCTAAGGAAAGTTAGTCAAAGAAAAAACTCAAGTATCTTTATCCAAAAAAATTCTTTAAATGTGTCCTTGTCTAAAATGAAACTTTCCCTAACTCTTCCCCATGTACTGGCAGGAGTCATACTTAGTCTCTTTAAGACCTTAAGTAATATTTTGCAGTATGTTTTTAGTTTACAGACATATTTTCTTAAACTATATTTTCATTATCAATTTCTACTTCAATAGATTCTGACTAGAGCTAAGTTTCTATGAGGTTAATTCTTTGAAGCTTTTTGATGCTCACTTTGTTACCTAATATATGGTTGAGTAGATCGTTGGAAAATATGGGTTTGTTTCACCCATATTTTGTAGAAACTGTGAAGTCTAGCTAAGATCTCAGTGGACAAAGTATGGTTTATTTGGTTAAATATTGTA